TTGTACAATAGCAGAGATGTTTTAAGTCATGTAGACTCCCTGTGCTTTCTTTTCTTGAGTTATATAACATCAGCATATCTCCTTAGTAAGCCTTTCTTGGTTGGTTTTGTTAAGAATCTATGAAAGCCACTATGTTTTTTTATTCAAAAGCTTACCATTAAAATGTACTTTAACTTATTTGCACTGCAATATTGGAAAAAGTTAAACATACTTTGAACACTTGTAAGTTGAATAACTCATTGCATAACAAAGTGCTGTTTGCTTACTGTGGCCCCGATCCTAATTGGTTTACAACATGGAAACCATCATGACTGGCATTTCCTTCTGTGTTTTCGTTCAGTGAAACGGGAAAGAGAGAGCAAGGACAACCAGTGGCTCGGCGTTACAGTCAAGAGTCAGGGGATTGGAGGGAAGGTGGTGGTAAGTATCAGGCGCATCATGTAAATTCATCAGTGCAGGAAGTTCATGTGTGGACAAGAAAAACAAAGACACATGTTCTGATGCTGACCCAGAGATGTGTGAACACATTTTCCAGCTTTGGATTATCTGTCAAGTTCTTATTTATGAGGATGAAGACCACATTTTTCTGAATGACTCAATCATATTGAGAATGGCGCTGTTTCGAAAATGACATCCATTAATGCTCTTTGATGTCCCTCTCCAGACCTGTGCTCACCTGTACGAGCTGAGGCAACGTGTCAGTAAACCTTCAGAGACTCGTGATCCCATCGGTCGCTGCTACGTCCTAAGCGAGGACCTGACTGAGCGAGATGATCTGGACGGAGGAGAATGGAAGTTCTGTGAAGGTCGACCACAGGGGCACGAGCAGTTTGGTTTCTGCCAGCAGGGCCTGTCTGTCAGTTTTACCCCAGACAACAACTTCATTCTGTTTGGGGCTCCAGGAACCTACAACTGGAAAGGTAAAGTGTCTGACTTTGACAAGCTGTGTTTTTGTTTTTTTTTGTCCAAATCAAGAAGTTGTATGTTTTACTAATTTGAAAAATCTCAGCAAATCTGTGATGGGATGTTTGGGAATATATAGATAAAAAGACCTAACACCCATCATAAAGACAGATAATAAGAGAAAGATTTGCAAGTAGGGATTATTTAAAACTGAAATTCCCTATTTTGTATTGTTCCCCTCTCTAATGTCTTCATAAGTACTGCACCATTTCAGTGTGCAAACAACTGCCAGTGGATATAAAAAATGATAACTCTTTCAGTTGCAGCTACTGTAAGATAGAAAAAAATCCATGTAAACTGCCTAATGAAAGTAGCACTACTGATTGGACAATGTAATTAATTTATAGCCCTATTTCTATTTCTATTGATTGAAAAGTGAAATTATGCAGCACAGTGGCATGCACTTAATTAAAGAAAGAGGAGATTTACCTGATGTAGAAATCAGTTACTGGATTGATTTATAGTTTACTGTCATAGACTGCCACATGAGATCAATGTCGGGCTTTGTTGCACGATGGCCTTAATTTATTCAATTCACATTCTAAAACACTGCAATATAAGTCTGTGTTTAGTCTGTCAGTTGTGAATGATACTTCTTATTCTACTGAATGTTATTTTAGAAAGCCTGGTGTTAGACTGTTTCCACTGTGTCAATGGGAAAGAACGTGTATTTAGATGGATGGACACTGTGTGTCTGGCTCTGCCTGGTCCAAAGTCACACAAGTTCTAAGCAGGTTTTGAGTTTATAGTGTATACATTAAGTGTACTGCATTTGGTGAACAATAGTGTCACATGATCTAAAGATCTCTAAAGAATAAAAGGAATTGTTTATAGCTAAAAATTGAAAGTAAATCACAAATGCTGGTGGGATAACTCAAGAAAAACCTTGAGACAGAAGTACAAATATGTTTAAAATCTTAAGAAAACACTTTGCCAACTTTCCAATATGTACATATTCATGTTGCCTCGTCTTTGCAAAGTCGCAGTTTGATTGAAAGCCAATGTTGCATTTGAATTTCATGGTATCGTCTTTGTATGAAATGGTAAAGTATGCCTATTTCTTGTATGCTAACTGATTAAGCTGTACATTATGTTGATGAGCATATGGTACAAACTGTACAGCATTAGTTATGTGTGTGTGTGTATGTATGTATCTTGTGTTCACTGTGACAATGTCCAAATGTTTTCTTGTTGCTTTGCTGTGCCCTCACCCGCTTCCTTTCCAGGTGAGATGCGCGTCCAGCTCTTCAACCAGACTCTGCTCGACCTCGGTTACTATGACGACGGGCCCTATGAGGTGGCAGATCAGAAACAACTTAATGCTCAGCTCATCCCTGTGCCCTACCACAGTTACCTGGGTAGGACTTGCCCTCCCTGCTCACTGCTGCCTGTGCACAGGAGAGAAAGAGAGGGCTGGAGGGGGGAGGACGCCAGGGCTCAGACTGCACCCCAGCATGGCTGACTTATCCACGGGAACAGTAGCTACTGCTAAGTTGCCTCTGACAGGTTGAGGGAAAAGGTGTTTTAGTGTCCCTGTCATCCGCTGGGCATTGTTTCTGGCTGAGCCTATCTGTGCATGACTCATAAAACCCTGAATATGACTCCACCTCATTATTGGAGCTCTCTCTCATTGTGGGTGGACATGTGGCCTGACATGAATTCTTATGATGCCAGTATTTGCTCCAGAACAAGGAAAACACTGTATGTACCAAAAAAGAAAAACACTACAATGATGTTGTCCTCATTCCAGCCACCGCCCTCATCTGAAAACTGAAGAACAGAAAAACATGTCAAACCTTTAAGTTTGTGCTTTACAATGTCAGGGTGTGATCTGAGCCTGAAGCGTCGTCTCTCCTCCAGGTACCCGGCGGTTTTTGCAGGACGAACCGCTGCAGCACCACAGAAACAAAGCACCAATCAATCACTACCTGTCTCACCTGCACTTCCCTCTCCCTCCCCTTTTTTTTTCTCTCTTGTCACTCTTTTGTTACCTTCACCACTCCATCACTCCCCTCCCACGCTCCTCCTCCCTCTGTCTCTTCTTCTGTCTTTCTCTTCCTGTTTTGGGCCTTAGGGCTCTTGTTCATGGCTAGCCCTGTTGAAGATGCACTGCTGTACAAAACTCTGGAGCCCAGCAACCGGCCCACACCGTTTGAGGATGTAGCTCATAATAGCTACTTAGGTTTGTAGGCTTGAAGTGTTGTTGTTTGGACCTCGGAACTGGGCTTGTAGTGGACGTTCTTCTTCTCCGTCTCTGTCTTAGTCCTGTCTTCTAATTCAACCTGGTGTGTATAGAGATTGTAGTGTGTAGTCTATGTACTACGTTGGACCAAGTCTTAACTGTTATAAAGAGACAGCCATCCAAAACTGAATTTATTCAAAAACTTGGCTAATTCAGATTTACACAATTTAATTTGTTTGATGCTGACTATTTTCTTTTTTCTCCACCTAGCTGTTAAATTGAACAGATGGTTGTCTCTTTGAGTAGCAGAAGGGTGTTTGTCTGTTCTGTCTATAGATCTCTGTTGTCTTTAGTGTGTTGAGTCCGTTGCATGTGTCTGTCCGGATGAAGCCTTCCAGGGCATCTTGGTGGTGGTTTTCGTGTTGATTGCTGTAGTTTTACTAAACTGAACTGTTTTAAAGGGTTTAACTAACCTACGACCTCACAGCTCTGCGGGGTTTACTCAGACTCAGCTGCGCTTCGAGCTAAATGCTAACATCAGCGTACTGACATGTTCACAGTGACGTTGAGAACATGCTGATGTTTAGCACATATACTGTAATGTTTACCATGTTCTCCACCATAGTTTTGTGTCTTAGCATGCTAACCTGTAGCTAATTAGCATTAAACACAGAGTACAAATGAAACCAATGGGAATGCATCATCAGTTTCTTATACAACACAACCTCACACTTAAACAACAGAAAAGATTCATTGCCAGTGACTCCCAAAATGTCAAACTGTATGTGAGTGTTTTGGTAATTGAGATACTATGAGAAGATGGGTGTGGTGGAGCCATAAACCATTCACAGGCTGTTCACCCAGGAGAGCGGGGTCCATGTCCCATGTGGAACTATTATTTTTAGTTGAGTTGACTTATTATTCAGCTTTCATTATTATTGTTATTATTATTATTCTTATTATTATTATTATTGTTGTTATTATTATTCCCTAACTAAACTACTTCATGACGTTTAGGAAAAGACCATGGCTTGGGTTAAAATGGACACTTTCTGCAACAGGCTTCTTTTGTGTTCTTGATTACCAAGGGGATGAGTCCCACGCCATCGAAAAGGAACTACTGTGGCAACAGCAAGTTCAGAGAGTTTACATGATCTAATTCACATGGCCACAAGAGGTCGTCTCCATTGTTCATTCTAACCTCCTTAAACAATTGACTAGTAAAATCTTTTGGTGAGGTCAGACTGTTTTTATTAGGTATTTTATAAATAAGTATTTTACAATTTTAAATTTTGACCAGATGATAGCTCTACATGGTAAATTAGGAAATAAGCAAATTTGCTATGATTTATCTGAGAGTAGGACAAATGTCGATGTCAAATTTAATGTTTAAAAATAAGACCGATGTCAGCCTCATGGTGGCACAACAGGAAAAGTCATGGGATTCAAACTGGTGTCAGTAAAAGACAAGCTATCAGAATGCAATTCTGCATTTCACATGTGATTGTACACCGTATGGTTAAGAAGAATTCCCCCTCCTCCTGACTTGAACCCTAACCTCAACTTATTTGCGTGTTATTTTAATACCCTAAAATGACACACAAATAGCTTAAAATGTGTATACATGACAGGTGAAGTGTGCCTAAAGTTGCGTGTTATGCATACGCAATCATTAGGGGATCACCAAAGACAATGGGATTGATTCCTAAGCAGGCACAGTCATTGTCTGTACAAAATTTCATCACAATCTCAGATTCCACCAGTGGTGAACTGACAGACTGACATTACCATCTATACAGCTACAGTCATATAAAGAGGTAGCCTAGAAGTATCCAAAAGATATCTTGATTTCTTGTTTTGGAGAAAGCAATGTGAGACTTTTGTTATGGATCTTCAGTGTCTGTGGGTAATGACCCACCCTCTGCTGAACAGGCTTGTTTATTGTTTTGTGTGGTTCCACTTATTATTTCCCACTAAGTGTGTGGATCTGCTATAAATCTCTTTATTCACATTCCTCCAAGCCTGCTTTCCCTCTCACTCACCATATTGAGCCGTCTCCTTGACTACACTAATTCTCACATGACCTTTTAGCCTTCATTTATAACTCACATGCTTCCATTGATCCTAACCAGATGATGTGCCACACCTATGCATGCTTACTAAAATGACAGACACCGCTGAAGAAATGTGCAGCAACTGTTGGATCTCAAATATCACCAGATTTCATCTGCTCCTAAAATGTGGTCACGTATAAACAATAAAACCATTGATTCATTTTAAGAAAGAAAAGAGTCTCTCTGAATAAAATCAAAACATCTCTTTTACCTCCTTCAGGGCCAAATCAAATCCTGTTCATAGAATCTCTTCATTGCAGAGTGTTTGGCTAAAGTGATAAAGGTTTTACCGAGGAATTGTGCTATTCCCATTGGAAACACTGTCATTGTCAAAATAATGATTTAATTTCTTGCATATACAGCAATGTACCACTTCTTCAGATTGAAACAACATTTAGTGACATCATCTTTTGCCCTGGCTTCATCTTGAGAAAAAAAAAGAAAAAAGAAAAAAAACAAAACATATTTTTTGAAGTTTTATTTCATAACTAATCAGTTGAGTGTGTATCTTTACAAATGTAGTCGTTTGGATAAAATTTAAACAAAGCTTAATTTTTGTTATATCATGCAAAAATATGTGAAATTAAACTCACTGAATGTATTGACAGTGAAATGTGGATAAACTGCATCATAATGTTTGTACCATATGGCATGGAAATACCAATCAGAACTTATTTTTAGCCTTAAACAGATATTTACTGAATAATTTTTAATAGTAAAGTCAAGTTAGTGCACAGCCACATCAGATCAGTAGCAAGAATGACATATAAATGAACAATACAAAATGGAAAAACCTACCTCTAGACTGAGGCTACACAAAAGAAAACAATCTGGATTGGCATCCACTCTTTACAAATAATTTCCTTGGCCTAAGTAATAAAGTTAAACCAAGCAGTTTATTGAAGTTAGCACCTTTGTTACGCTCAGGCAGGGTTCCCATCTTCTTTAAAAAACCTTTTGCTCCATTAAGCCTCTATTCCCTATTTAGCTTTACAGTGTCAACCTTGTTGCAAGCCTGTGTGTTAAAAGCCACCCAGTGTGGAAAAAGTAGCACCCAGTCTCCATCCGTTGGTTTTATAGGAGCTGCAATGTTGCATTCCACACCTGCCACCCTGGAGCTGCTCACTGTTTGTCTGTTGTGTCTCCAGCTGCATGTTTACTCAGGACTAACAAATGTCCTTCGTGTCCTGATAGATTTTTTTTCACACCCTCTGCCTGCCTGCTTTTTTTTTTTTTTTCACTAGCAAAGCCAAAGCATGAGGTTACTTGAAATGTTTGATATATGTGCTATTTTTCGCAGCTTGATAAGAAAATTTGAACACAATATAAAGTAAATACCCCCCCCCGCACGCACACACACACACACACACACTTCTTGCTCGCTCTTTTGCTTTACTTGATTTACATGCAAGCACATCCTCACATTCCTTCACACACACACACACACACACACATGCGCACACACACGCACGCAGATGTGCATTTTCACAGCACACTCGCACAAAGGAGGAGATGCTTTAGGCAATAAATCTGATTAATGTCCTCCCACCATGTTTACATACTGCCTTCACCAGAGGCAACCGGTGCAGCGCTGCAGCATCTCCTGAGACATTAGACGGAGGCCGATACATCTCCCCCTGTTACTGTCACAACCGGCCTTTCTGCTTTTGCCAGCAGACTCGCAACCATTGGCAAACACAGCACACAGAACATTTACAGCCATCATGAGTTTGGCATAAAATCAATAGTCACTTAAGGCACACATTTCATTAGTAAGGAGATGAGCAGAACATGGCACACTGAGAGGAGATGAGCCTCTGAACCCCACGGTCAATAATAACCCCTGACCCTTCTTCTTCCTCCTCCTTCTTCTTTTCCTTTTTCCTTCTTCCTCCAGGGTTTTCTGTGGACTCAGCCATGGGGATAATGAGCCTTGGGGAGCTGACCTTCGTGGCTGGTGCACCGCGGGCCAACCATACAGGGGCAGTGTTGCTGCTGAAGAAGGACAACGTTTATCGGTTGGTGCCACAGCACATCTTCTGGGGGGAGGAGCTGGCGTCTTCATTCGGGTACTCGGTAGCCACCACGGATCTCAACAGGGACGGGTGAGGAGAAGCTGAATGTAAAGTCATTCTTGATATAACAAAACGGGATGGCTTGTGTTAATAAAAGTACAAGTACTACACTATAAAAACATAGAATTTTAATTTTAGCTGGCCTTTCACAAGCTTTGCTAATACAGATATATATTATTAACATTTAATCCATAAACTATTCAAATTTAAATCAGTTTTTTGCAGTCTCTGAAATGTAGGGTAATTTAAAGTAACACAGTAAAGTGCGTCACATTTCTATTTAGATACAAGACATGTAGTGGCTAAATGTGTTTAGTTACGTTTGACCACTGGAGGTGACTCAAGTACTTATTTGTTTTTGGGTTTTTTTGTCTTGTTTTCTGTCCTTAGCTGGACCGACCTGATTGTTGGAGCTCCTAACTTTTTTGACCGTAAAGCGGAGATTGGTGGAGCTGTTTATGTGTATCTGAACCCCTTTGGTCACTGGGACGATCAGGCTCGGCCCATTCGTCTCAACGGGACATATGACTCCATGTTTGGGATGACAGTCACCAACATCGGAGATCTGGACCAGGATGGATACGGAGGTGGGGGCAGTGTTTCTTGTTTTACTGAATCTAAGTGAATGAAAGAGCTCAGGTATTAGTCATGCCCCAGGAGACAGTATTTTCTTTAACAAAGATCTGTGCTAAAGATTCATGTGTTTAAATCCTAATCTGCAAAGACTGCAAATAGTTCAAACAAAAATATCATTGCTGCTTTTTAATGGGCAAATAGACAACCCCAGTTCTCTGAATGACCCTAACAGAAAAAGGCAAAATGATGGAGATTTAAATGGCTTTTTACACCAGTTAGCATTTGTGGTAACATTTGGAACATTCATACTATTTAGCCAGTAGTGAATCCTCTGCTTGTCTCTATCAAATCAATATTAAATATAACATATTTTAAACAACCTGAGTTGACCAAAGTGCGACACAAGTTATCAGTCAGACGGTAACAAAATGTTGTACAAAACATCAAGACAAGATAAAAATAGTAAAAGTACATTTTAAAACAAAATTGAATAAAATACTTCAACAGGCAAAACAGGATAACAAATTGTAAGAGCTGTTTCTAAAAATAAATATTAAATATTAAGACCCTTAAGAGCAGGAAAACGCCATTAAAAATATGTACCTCTTGAGGTTTTTCTTGAAAATTTCAGTGGAAGAGAAACAGAACCATATGAATTGGGCTTAAGTTTTAAAACATTCACAATTTAACTAACTATGTACAGTGAGAAATGTAAACCAGTCTGTTTTCTATCTGTACAGATATTGCTGTGGGAGCACCGTTTGATGGAGATGGAAAAGTTTTCATCTACAGAGGCTCAGATGCTGGAATTGAGACTAAACCCGCTCAGGTATGTAAGACTATGAAAGCAAGAAGAAAAAAGGATACAAATAAAAGGACTGAATGAAATATAGACATCCATGAGAGGAGTGAATCAGCCATTTTATCTCATTAGGTGCTGGATGGCCGTGACTTTGACGTGAGACGTTTCGGATACTCCATCTCAGGTGGTTTGGATATTGACAGCAACCACTATCCAGATGTGGCAGTAGGGTCTCTTAATGACTCAGTGGTTCTCTTCAGGTGAGTTATTTAACCACCCAAATCATCTATCCATCCATCCATTGTCTATACACCGCTCACTAGGGTCGCGGGGGCTGGAGTCTATCCCAGCTGACTTCGGGTGAAGGCAGGAGACACCCTGGACAGGTCACCAGTCTATCACAGGGCCACACAGAGACAGACAAGCAGGCACACTCACATTCACACCTATGGACAATTTAGAAAGACCAGTTAACCTCAGTCAGCATGTCTTTGGACTGTGGGAGGAAGCCTGGAGCACCCGGTGAGAACCCACGCAGAACATACAAACTCCACAGAGAAAAACCCCAGGCCGAGATTTGAACTCAGGACCTTCTAGCTGTGAGGTAGCAGTGATAACAGCTGTATCCCAGTATTTTAATCAAGAAAACTATTTTTGACTGATATCAGTCATGTCTTGAGTTTCTGTAGTTTCTTTCTTTGATCTGAAATTCTTCATTCATTAACTCTAAAACAACACACGTGAGGGTTTTTGTCAGTGAGATCTTTGTGTATTCTCTTTTAAACAGCAGTACAATGTGCAGAGTCACATTCACACCTACGGACAATTTAGAATCACAAGTTAACCTTAACATGTTTCTGGACTGTGTGGGAGGAAGATGGAGAACCCAGAGAGAACCCAGAGAGAACCCACGCTAGACATGGATAACATGCAAACTCCACGCATAAGAATCCTGGGTGTCCTCACCAGGACGCGAACCAGCGACCTCCTTGCTGCAAGGTGACGGTGCTAACCACCGAGCCACCTTTCAGCCCACCATTCAAATCAGACCTGCAACAATATTCTGAAAACAGCTCTGTTTTAATGTACTTTGGTTTAAAAAAAAAAAAAGAAAGATCAGAATTATGTCTAATTGGACCGTAAACACATGCCACCTATAATGATATGTGTGAAATACAAGTGTGGGCCATAAATCTTGCATCATTTTTCATCAGTTAGTCTCATTTTTCCCTATTGACACATTTTTCTGTGTTTCTCTGTGTCCTCAAGGTCTCGTCCAGTTATCCATGTGCTCAGAGAAATGTCTATTGACCCTCAAAACATTGATTTGGAGCAGAACAACTGCCAAGGCAGAGATGGTGTCTGGTAAGCACTGAAGAAACAACCAGGATAGCTGAACTAAACCCTGATTTTAAAAAACATAATTTTGAAAACTAAAGCTTGCAAACATTTGTCTTTTTTAGTGTGGAGGTCAAGGCCTGCTTCACCTTCACAGCCCACCCCGCACACTACTCCCCACACATTAGTAAGTCTCACCTCTGTTTTCAAGCTTGTTTTTGTTCCTCCCTCACATGGGACTTAATGTCACTCCCCACAGTGACAGGAGTCATTTCTATTTTCAGTAGAAAGCAACCTTATCTGTGAGGTAACAGTAGACTTTATTATGATTAAATCACTGCTGTGTAATACTGTACCCCCTCAGATGAGGGTTTCCTATATGCTCTGCCCCTGGTGGGCTCTTTAAGTGCTCTCTGTGTGTGTCCTGACATTTCTGTATTTCGATCCCTCTGTCTCACTCAATGCATCGCCCCCGTTCTTCTCTCCTTCAAGCCCTTGTGGTGCACTTTGAAGCTGACACAGAGCGTAGGAAGCTTGGCCTCCCACACCGCGTTAACTTCCTGGGCCGCAGTTCACTGGAGCCCGAGTATACGCAGACTGAAGAAGTGGAGCTGCATCGGCAGCTTCACCCTGTGTGCACCACTGCTGTCTTCCAGCTGCATGTCAGTAACGTATAATTGATAACCTTTTGCTTTTTTCAAATTGGCCTTTTTGTGCATTCAGTGGATTGAATACTTTTCCTTTTCATGATATCTTCTGACATATGGGGGTCAACAATTCACACGCTTCATTTTATCCACCCTAACCTTTAGGCAAAATCCCATATTGTCCATTAATCTATTATCTTCTGTCTATACAGGAGAATATCCGTGACAAACTGCGTCCCATCTCTTTGGCGATAACCCACACGATCAAGCCCCAGCCGCCACGCAGACACTCTGCCAAGAAGTTGGAGAAGCTGCCTCCTATACTGAATGTCTCCCCCTCTAACACACTGCATTCTGAGGTGTGTCACAAAACACAAGCTGAACTATTTCACGGTTTAATTCAAGTGGGGCACTCCTGCTTATTGATTACTGTATAGGCAAGTCAAGGCTTTATGGAATGTTTTCCATCAACATAGCTTCTCTGTTTTAATTTAGACTCCTATTTTGGAAATACAGCAATTCAGCCTGTTGTTATCACACATGATATGTGTTGGATTGCTTGCTTCTTTTGTTTCAACGGAATTACTTTACATGCATCTAAATTAAATACTACTGCTGCAAGGAACATCCATAAACTAACTGTAGGACTTTATGAAATTTTAATAACGTGCAGTCAACTGAAATGTTCTTATGCTGATGGAGCCTCCTCACTGTCTCACTTGTGTACAAACTGCACTGTCATTTACCCTTGAATCTACTAATATCTGCTGCTAAATAGTCTTCATAACCATGCAGATGTGGAACAGAAATGCAATCAGAGCTACAAATAATATTTTTTTTCATCAATTAATCTGTTGAATATTTCCTAGACTAACTGATCAATCGTTCATGTTTGAAAATAGTGAAAAAAGCTGATCACAGTGCTTCACGTGACCAACTGTCCATCCATCCATTATCTATACACCGCTTAATCCTCACTAGGGTCGCAGTGGGGGCTGGAGCCTATTCCAGCTGACTCAGGGTGAAGGCAGGAGGCACCCTGGACAGGTCACCAGTCTATCACAGGGCCACACTTAGAGACAGACAAGCAAGCACACTCACATTCACACCTTGTGGGAGGAAGCCGGAGAACCCAGAGAGAACCCACACTGCACGGGAAGAACATGCAAACTCCACACAGAAAGATCCTCAGCGGGACGCGAACCGGCAACCTTCTTGCTGCGAGGCAATGATGCTAACCACTGCACACCTTGCAGCCCACCAACAGTTCAGACACATAGTTTATTTTCTTTTTTAATTTGCCATCTTATTTGCTATTTTAATTGCAAGAGGCTAAAAACAGTGAATTTTGGACACTTGTGTTTAAAAAGTAGTTTAGTTCACATATTAAAAACCTGTTAGTTGATGGAGAGGGCTGCAAGGTGGCGCAGTTGGTAGCACTGTTGTCTCGCAGCAAGAAGGTTGCTGGTTCGCGTGGAGTTTGCATGTTCTCCCCGTGCAGCGTGGGTTCTCTCCGGGTTCTCCGGCTTCCTCCCACACAGTCCAAAAACATGTTGAGGTTAATTGGTGATTCTAAATTGTCCGTAGGTGTGAATGTGAGTGTGCTTGGTTGTCTGTCTCTAAGTGTGGCCCTGGTGATCTGTCCAGGGTGTCCCCTGCCTTCGCCCTAAGTCAGCTGAGATAGGCTCCAGCACCCCCCCGACCCTCGTGAGGATAAAGCGGTGTATAGATAATGGATAGTTGATGGAGAATGCCCTTGCAGACTTAAGGAAACTCCCTGTATCCACAGCCTGACATTGATCTGATTTAACCCTCTGAAGGTGAACTTCCTGCGAGAAGGATGTGGCGATGACAAAATCTGCCAGAGCAACCTGAAGCTCAGCTACCAGTTTGGAACAAGACCCCTGAACTCCGACCTCTTCACCCCTCTGCCAAAGTTAGTACCTGTCCAATCTTCTCTGCCTGAGCTGCTGCAAATGATGATGACTACTGTTGCCTGAGACACTGCTGCCTAGCAACCCACACCACACACTTTAAAAAATAAAAGAAAATTGTAATGCAGTGGGAATGATGATTATTTTTGGTCTGGTTGGTGTTTATACTTGAACATTCACTTGATTCTTGATTGTATGTTTATAAAATTAAACCTTTGGTGCTAGATTGCAGGAAGGTACCTTGTCAAAAGTTTTAATGGCTTAATTATTTTTTAATAAACCATTAATAAATGATTAATTCATGATTTGTCTTTAACAATACCAACTCTTATCATTTTCTTTTGTTTTTACCATTTATAGATGTGTTTCTCACTTACATACAATAATCTTCTTGAGCCTTATATCTACAAAATCCTCCACTGAATGTGTCTTCCTGATAAGTCAGAAGCTAAAAAGACCAAGTTTTATGTTTGAGATGGATGAATTCTTTATACAACAAAGGGGTGACTGTTTTTCCTGTTGTACAGACTAGAAACATGTCAGATTATGTATTCAATCAATATAATAATTAATTGTTTTTCTTTAGTTTAACACTCTTCTTACCCAATCTTCAGAGTGTGCTGATGTACTACCTGCTAAGCATCTTATTGTCAAGCTTTATTTGTACATTTACCTCTGTCCCCTTTGTTTTCTTTGCCGGTATGCAGAGATGAGTACGATGTGCAGGTGTTTTCTCTGTCAGACCAGCGGTTGGTGGTTTTGGAGATCACCGTCACCAACATGCCCTCTGACCCTCTGTACCCTGAGGAGGATGGAGATGACGCTCACGCTGCTCAGCTTCTCATATCTTTTCCAAACACGCTGTCATATGCGGGTTCCCGGATCCCACCACAGGTTTGAGCTCTGCTAAGAAACAGCCTTAAATTTGTGTTGCAGAGGTGGTGTTATATACCAAAACGTTGTATGTTGTTTGTTTGATTTCCTGACTGTAGATGAGATGTCAAGCGAACTCGAATGGCTCCCAAGTTGAGTGCGAGCTGGGAAATCCTGTCAAACGAGATACTAAGGTAAGAAAGAAGTGTGTATGTTTTTAAAAAATATTAAAATTGTACAACTTGAAACAATGTGTGGTCATTTACAGCATATTGCACATAATGTGTTTATCCTAGAATTAATGCAAGCCACTGCATAATGCATTAGAATGCTTTTACTGTCATCATACACAAAGTACAACGAAAATAAAAGACAACTCCAGTGGTGCAAAAGTGTAAAAGTATAAAATACAAATAAGTATATATACACAAGGAGCCAGTAGGAAGTATATACAGTTAGCCAAATGGTAGAAAGAATATATTGCACTGTTGAGGCAGGAACACTGTGGATATATGAGAAATATAAATAATATAAATAAAGAATTATTATGAGTAATACAAAATATAATATATATAAAATATATACAAAATACAGTATAATATATAATAATTAGGACATAGTTATAGTATAGTATAGTATAGTATAGTATAGTATAGTATAGTATAGTAAAGTATACAACAAACATCAGCAGACACATCAATTAAAAGCCTTTTTGTTCAGAACCTCACATTATTTTTTGTGCTCACTTGGTGTATACATGTGTGTTTGTCTCCCAGCTGAAATTCTCCATCAACCTGAGTACATCTAACATCACTATTGAGACCACTGAGCTGACAGCAGATCTCTTACTGACAACGTAAGTCCTCCACATCTTCTCTACTTATTCAACGTTATTGTAACACAGATCAACTTTTTACTTCATCAGAGTCAGTAATTTTTTAATCAGTTTAATGTAGGTGCCGTGCTTGCTAAGACCAAATAATTCTTTGATCCAAGTATTTTGATTGTTTTGTCCTCAGTATCAGTGAGCAGCCTGACTTGGTCCCAGTCACAGCTTTTGCTAAAGTTGTGATAGAGCTCCCTCTGTCTGTCAGTGGGTGAGTGGACCTTTTTCCTTCAGTGTGATAAAACAGTCTGTTGCAGTAAAGTTGTCTTATCTTTTTACACTTAACATGCTAGTAAAGATTTTTGGATTCATGTTATTCCACATTGTCTGACAGAATCACATACATTGTGGATGAGCTTGTTCCAACTCCTTTTTAAAGCTATCTGACACACTGGTTGATCTTATTTTGCTGTAGACTTGCTCGTCCTCACCAGCTTTTCTTCAGTGGCACAGTGAGGGGAGAGAGTGCCATGACCAGTCTGGAGGACATCGGCAGCCCAGTCGATTTTGAGTTTGTGGTGAGGACATGTTATTTAACTTGCATTAATCAAAGGATGTGACTGAAAGACCTGAGATCTTAATGTAATATCGGTCAGGTAAACACAAGCTGCTTTGCTGGTGTACTTCCAGGTCAGAGTTTCACAAAAATAGAATTACCAAGCACAAAATTGCTTTTACTTACATTATGGTAAATGGTCTGCACTTATATAGCACTTTTCTACCTTGGTGGTACTCAAAGCACTTACAATGTTCTCTCATTCACCCATTCATACAACAATGGTGACAGAGCCGCCATACAAGGCGCTTGCCTGCCATTGGGAGCATCTTTGGTTTCAGTGTCTTGCCCAAGGACACTTCGACTGTGGAGGGGTGGGGGATTAAACCGCCAACCTTGCAATCAGAGGACAACTGCTCCACCATCTGAGCTATAGTTGCCCTGTATAATGTATGTGCTGTATATTTTCTTCTGTCAGGTTTCTAATCCTGGGCAAGCTCTCCAGACATTTGGCTCAGCCTTCCTCAACATCATGTGGCCTTCTGAGCTGGTCAATGAGAAATGGCTCCTGTATCCTGCCAGCCTGAAGTTTAAGGGCCACCCAGACACACACTGCAGCAACACAGCAGCCCTGAACCCTCTGAAGCTTCAGAGCTCCTCACCTGACGAACATCAGCTTGCCAATCACACGGTAGGTAGAGTGGTTCATCTCTGAATTTTATAGAAAATAGTAAAAAGTATGTTTTCATGTGTACACATGAACAAATATGTCAAGAGGCGAACATGATTAGATTTCTTTAAACTGCTTGGAAATGCACCCTCAGTTATTCTTTAATTATCTGTTTTCGAGTAGGACAAACAAGTCTATCCTATATAACAAAAATAATAACTGAGAATTGGAAAGAAGGTGTTAATATTAGACCCAGTCTAGACTCTTTTTCTTCTAGATCATAAAATATTATAGCTGAGAGAATGTCAACAATCTGATCACGTGATTTACTGAATACTTTTTCTTGAGTTTCAGCTAAAATGTAAATTTTCTTTGGCAAGGGCTACAAGGTGGCTAGGTGGTTAGCACCGTCGCCTCGCAGCTGGAAGACCCCCGGTTTGCATCGATTGAGTGATGTATAGATAATGGTTAGATGGATTTTCTTTGACAAACACATCCATTATAATAATAATAATAATAAAAAATAAACTTTATTTATAGAGCACTTTTCAAAACAAATGCTACAAAGTGTTTTTCAGGAAAATAAATTTAAATTAAAATGCAATAAGCATACAGAACAATTGATAAAAGTAGAAAGCACAAGAAGCTAAAAAACATAATGTCAAAACATTATGTCTGCACATCCTTTATTTTTTCCCTCTAATGTGCAATAATGCATCTCTTTCAACAGGTGGGAAGAACACGCCGCTCCCACCCAGAGGAGGAAGGTCAAGTCATGACAAAAGGCAGCGTAGGACGAATCACACCAGATGTGGCAGCTTCAGAGAGACGCAAGTCGCTCAAACTGGTAAGAAGATCAAGAAAGTAGCAAGAAGAAGGTGATTTATTGATTCCCTGCTAATGCACTTAGGCACCCGTATGGAGTTACATTTGTGCTACAATCCTGAGCGCGTAATGGGAAATTTTTAGCAAATAAACAAATAGCAATACATTCTGCGCTCAAACTATCACTGCTGTATTTGCAACAATCAACATACACACACGATCATGCTGTCTTTCACTCGGTTTTGTCATTTATGCTCTCACAGATCTCCATTCTGTGCGCTCAACTACACGTTCATGCTGATTGGCTGGCGTCAGCCACCCTGTGCAAGGCTGTGATTGGCTGGTTTAGTGGCACATTTGTAACGCTGTGCCAAGTCGAACGAAGGTGCAGGCAGAGTTGAGGTTGAACAGATCATCAGTGTTGTGAGCGAGAGAGACACCGCGAGCGAGCGTGATCGTGTAGTTGAGCGCACAGAATGGAGATCTGTGAGAGCGTGAATGACAAAACCGTGTGTGTATGTTGATAGTTGCAAACACAGCAGTAATAGTTTTGAGCGCAGAATAGATTCTCGTTTGCTCCGATTAAATTTTTATTTGCTCAAGTTTGTTTTCTGCGCTCAAAATTTCCCTTTACACGCTCAGGGTTGTGGCACAGATATAACTCCATACAGCTGGACCTTAAAATAAACTGTAGATGCACAAATGAAGAGATGCAGACTCTGTTACGTTTGCTTTTCACTGCTCTCATCACTGTTTACATCTGACACCAGTTCATTAAAGAACATGCTCCAGAGTTCTCAGTTTGTCATTTTATCCTCCAGGATTGTCTCTTGGGCTCAGCCCGCTGTGTGCTGTTCCAGTGTCCCCTCCACAGTTTCTCTGGTCAGGCTGTCTTCAAGATCGATGCCAGACTGTGGAACAGCAGTTTCATAGAGGTGACAAAAAAACAATCCTGTCATGACTACATTTGCACCTTTATGCACACTACTCTGCACGTCAGCTTCAATCCAACTATTTGGTCTATTTCTGACTCTCACATTCATTTAGGTGCGTGACTAATGTACTGTAAGTGAATGAGTAATAACTGCAGCAAATGCATTTACAGAATGAATGGGAGATGTTAGCTTTGATGTGGAGGGAGTCAGCAATCAACTTTAATTGCTGACTGCTGAGTCTCGTGTATTTAATTTTCTGTGAGATCAAACAGTAACAAAAAAATTATACACCCAGTGTTTTATTGTTTTTTTTCCCCTTGAAATTATGGAATTATTTGAGCCTCGTTTGGAAATCCAAAATTATTTACACAACTAAAGGACTTAATATTTTCACTTTAGATTGCTTATTTTCAGAGTTTTTGCTATAATATTTATTTGATATGATATAATTATTTTGTCTAATACTAATGATGACTAAAACTCCCCAAAACAGACTCAGGTTATACACACTGTGATTTTTATATAATGTAATGGGAATATTGTTTTGGCTAAAATCTTAATATCTCTGTGTGCAGTATGTGTGCTGACTCAAATTTTGTTGTGCTTCTTGTACAATGACAATAAAGAGATTCTGATTCTGATTCTGAAGAAAAATAAAAGAAGAAAATTGTGGAATTTTAATTTAATCAGAGACGATATCACCAAAAGCCACCATGAGGCTTCTTTAAAAGCAAAGTTTCAATAGTTTCACTCATCAGTTATCTAGTTTTGACGTTGCTTTGTCTCTCTGTGTCTCAGGAGTTCCCGACAGTTAGTGCTCTGGAGCTGCTGGTCAGAGCCAACATCACTGTGAAGTCCAGCATCAAACATCTGGTCCTCAGGGATGCTTCTGCACAGGTACTTAGCACACTTCATCCATGCACAGGTGTCTTGCAAAAAAAAGAAAAGATTAATGATGTGTTAATGTTCACTGTCCAGTGAGCAGCTGTTAGTGTTTTGAATCACATAGATAGATGTATGAACTAGCAGTATTTCATCAACAGCAATGAATAAATATAAAATAAATTATTTGTAATTTGCTCACATATGAATAAACATTTGTATTTAGATACATCTGTTATCACTGAAGACTGTAAATGTAGTGATAAATATGGCATGTGTCTGTTTTTCCATCCTGCCTTTCTCTCCAGGTTCCAGTAATGATTTATCCTGAGCCTGGTCTCGCTGACCAGTCCTGGATCCCCTGGTGGATTATTCTCATCGCCATCCTGGCAGGCATCCTGCTGCTGACTCTACTGGTCTGCATACTGTGGAAGGTAACACACAGAATACCTCTAAAGCATTCTGCTACACATGAACTCGGCACACACCTTTATGTTTGTGCATTCTCACATGCTTCAATGTCTTTATTTGAATTACAGTTCTTTATCATGAACAGCACTGAGAGTTTGTACTATTAAGATGATGGAAGACAGGATGTAAAACCAATTTAACCAACAGTGAAGTCCCAAGAGTGTGGCCTAGTAAGCAGTGGTAAAGAAATACAAATAGTGTAAAACTTCAAGGTTCAGAATTTTAACCATGTGCAAAAGTATCGTCGCTAAAATACTCTTAAAGTAACAAAAGTAAAAGTACTTATTGTGCACAATTGTACTGCAGTATTGATTCAAGCAGAGGTACATGTATTTAGCAAATCAACACACTTTAAAGGCTGATTATAAATTCTGTATATATGAAATCTTATTGTGATTAAAATAGATTTTTGTTCATTCTACAATATTTTGGAGTAGAACAGAGAAAAGACAGTGATGTGCCAAAACTTGACATCATTCCTGTCACTACACAGGCCATTTTCTTTTCACTCTCCACGGCAGTCCAATTGTTTGTCTACTTTGCTCTGATCTGTCCTGTAATCATTTTTTCCCTTCCAGCTCATTCTCATATGCTCCTTTCCTCCTTTGTTCCTGTGTTTGTCCTCTGTGTCTCGTTCCCTTTTGTTTTGTCTTCTCTTACTTCTGTCTGGGGACCGTCTGTCCCTAAATCCCCCTTTCTATTACATCCATCTTTGTTTCCTCTCTTCCCTGTGGTGATGTGTTGCCTCAGTGTGGGTTCTTCAAACGCAGTGAGCGGCGCCGGCACTATGAGACGGAGTACTACCGTGCCCATTTGGGGGTCCAACCCTCGGAGGCGGAGAAGCAGGCATCAGAACTATAATTTAAAAAAATATTTCCCTCTGGCCTGCTCTCCCCTCCTCCTCTCCCTCCATGCGGTAAAAACCCTCACGTACAATCGCTTTGTTCCTCGACCCACTCTCTGGCCGGTGGTGTTCATTACAGCATGAAATATGGGCACATTTAGGCACAAATGACCACAAAAGTGAGGTGATGTCACAGCAGTAATACCTGAGATGGAGGGTAATTGACCTTTTGCTCAAGCTCTGCCCCTCTTAGCTATGCTCAGCAAGTTTTTCCAAGACAATACTGGCTGAATTTAAATTTTCTTGTGCTTCATGGGTTTGTTGAAATGCTGCCTCTGGGTGACTTTTTTTAGTACTTTTGGTCAACTTGTTTGAAAACAAGAAGCCTGAAACAGGTATTGAAAAGGAACTTGTTTTCTACACAGATGATATTGTGCTAAAAGATGGAGACTAAAGCTAGATGTTAAATAATTTGCATCATCCCCGATCACTGATACAAACTGGATCTAAGCAATTGAATGTTACAGCATTGTTGTCATGTTAGTGTAGAATTAGTTAGTACAAGTATTATTGTGAGAAGAAATACCAGATCAGACTTTTAGTTTCTTTCTGCCATGATCCTAAATCATCTGCTTTGCTTAAAGATTCTCTCCAGGCCTGTTCAAAGAAAGAAAAATCTTCTGCCAGAAATAGAAATTTCTGTCTGATGATATTTTTCCCTTAAAAAAGTTAAATTAACTTGATAATTCTTCAAATGGCATCGATGCCTCCTCCTTCATTGAACATGCAGATCATTTTCATAATAAGAGTTTAATTTCTGGAGACAGGATGTTTCTTATTTCACTGTAAGTGAAGTGTTTACACACAGACACACACACAGACACACACACAGACACACACACACACACACACACAAACATTGTGCAAAAAAACCACATCACACTAGTGTATGTTGACAATTTGACCTCAGCTGTTGTCAGAAATCCTGCTTGCATGCTGACACCTTAAACTCAGATTTTTTTTAAGGGGAATTTAGAGAAATTTTTCACTTTCAGCAAAAGAATATGCAAAACATTGCCTAGGGTCCAGGAAAAGTGACACTGAGCCAAACACATTTTAGAGTTTAATCTACATAGCTACTAGATTTATGTTTTGTTGTATTTTCAAACACGATTTCTCACTTAATAAAAGGAGGTTTAAAGGGTTTTAGGATGTTTTTGGCTGGGGTTGTTGTTTATTTCCTAAATCTAAAAAGCAGGACATACCTGCTCAGTAATTTTAGTTTAAAAAATCTCCTGAAATGCAGAGTATTACTTTTACCAGAACTTCATAAAGTGCTTCAAAATGTCCAAAGCTGGATGGGCCAGCCATGCAAAGTTACTAGCTGCTAAGTTTTAAGCTATAATTTATATTTGGGGAGGGCCTGCAAGGTGGGGCGGTGGTTAGCATCATTGCCTCGCAGCAAGAAGGTTACCGGTTTGCATCCCGGTGAGGACAGCTGGGATCTTTCTGTGTGGAGTCTCCATGTTCTCCCCATGCAGCGTGGGTTCTCTCCGGGTTCTCCGGCTTCCTCCCACAAGGTCCAAAAACATGCTGAGATGAATTGGTGATTGTAAATTGTCTGTAGGTGTGAATGTGAGTGTGCTTGGTTGTCTGTCTCTAACTGTAGCCCTGTGATAGACTGGTTACCTGTCCAGGGTGTCCCCTGCCTTCGCCCTGAGTCAGCTGGGATAGACTCCAGCCCCCCCGTGACCCTAGTGAGGATTAAGCAGTATAGATATTTGGGGAGGGGTTTGGCAAATGGTCAGCTCTGGCATGGATTGCTACAGCAAAGCAGCTACTTATGCAGCTTATAGGTATTATTTATACACTGCATGGTTTTAGCTTCAAGGTCTCTTTATCCAGTCAGACTCTTGGCTAAAACAACCCTTCAGTATATACTTCTGCAGCCTTGCTCGTCTGTTTTATTGGATCATTCAAGTAGAAATGTGGGTTTCAGTGCATAAATAAATGAATATAAAACTGCTCCCTTTATTCAGCATTGTTTCTCCCTTTTGGTCTGTGCCTAGTGAACACCATCCAGCCTTGTTTCCTTCAGGCCTTTGACATGCTGCTGTGCTGTGTGTTGTGCCTCTTACTGATTCATAACCTGCACTTGTTCATTCTGGCATCTGTCTGTGAAGATTATTCCTTTTCACAACGTACGCTCCAATTTGACTTACATCACACGACCGGCTGGCTTTTCCAGGTGCCAGAATGCACTTGTCATTTGGATCACTTGGTGTTTTTGTTCGTTTTAATGAGTGTACATTTTCTTAATGGCACTTCAGTGTGCTGGTGTGGTAATTACAGACACGATGCTGATGCTGATGTAGAGCATGTGGGTGTGCTTTTCTGGGTGGATATGCATTTTTATTAAAACATCATCTTGATAATCACTTTATGTTCTTGTCTGAAATAGAAGACTTTAACAGAATTTATGACATGGTAGAGTTCTCTTACCAGGCATGATACTTAATATAAGCATCTCTTGAAATAAGAGCAAATAAATGCAATAGCATGTTTATTTATGACACCAATCTTTTTCTCTTCCTTTCTGCCTCCTCCATCCCTCTCTCCCTTTCTTCTTCTTCTTCCTGCACTTCCACATTTTGTCTTTCCTCGACCGGCAGTGTGGCTTCTTCCGACGAGCTCAATACAAAGACAAACTGCCTCAGTACCACGCAGTGAAGATCCCTCGTGAGGACCGGCCACAGTTCCAGACTGAGAAGTCAGGAGGTGTCCACAAAAAGGAATGGGCCACGCACTGGAGCGACGGGACCTCGTAACTCGCTTTGAAGCACTGACTGACTAAAATAATTCAAATCACCACGTGTGGCACTCGCTCTGTCTTTGCATTGGAACTAATTGACTAAAAAAGAAAACAAAAGGGCACAAAGACTGGGATCTCGCAAAACTCTGTGCACACTTTACTGCATCAGTACTTGCATATATTGGTGGCCTGTTACACTGGGACTGGATCTATATTCTTCCTACTGTCGCTTATTGACAGCTGGCCTTAGATAGTCTGCTCATACTGTGTGTCTATATCACAGTTTTACAGTAAACACTGAAGGCCCACAACAAAATTAGAACCAGTCTAGCTGCTCAGTATGTTTTACAGCCTACACAGCTGCTTCACTGTCTGTCATCCGTTTTGACGGGCGGAACAAAAGAGGACTGAAAATCAAAGACATGCATGAATGCACAGGCATACAGAATATTATTAGATTCATGCAGACATACTGGACGTTGCCAATAAAGAGGCCACTGCCCATGACAAAGATTACTTTTTGCCTTAACTACTGCAAGACTGACGACTGATATGGGCAAAGAAAAAAATGCATTTTTAATATATATATATATAAAACTGATGTTTAGGGGATTCTTTTCGTTAGCGCTGGTAAACACTGGGAAAATATCAGTCCAAAACACTGAATGTGTTTCTGGGCTGGCTGATTACTCTGGGCTGGTTGAAGAGGCCGTTAAATGAGTTCACTTGTTTTTTATATTCAAGGAAAATAACAAAGCCTTTTCAGTTTGTGTTGAATATGTTTTTCCATTTTGTGTTACTATGTCAGTCAAACGTACTGTTCATCATTAGTCAGTTGCCTGAGTGAACTTGAAAGAGAACAAGAAGCCACAATACAGCCTTTGACATGACATGACCATACATAGTGCTGCTGTCACATCAAACCAAATGTGTCAGAAAAGCAAAGCAATATTTTAAATGTAGTCTGCTCCTTTGCAGCTTAAGAATTTTAATTTCTTGAACCAAACATTGTTCTTTTAAAATATATATATGTATAATTCCCTGCCTTTTAATGGCATAACATATGCTCAGTGTATGAAGGGCCTGTGAATGAAGACATACAGTGGTCTCATTTTAAAACCTGTTCTTCTACATAGGACTAAATTAGACATAAATCCAACCATTCATTTTTTTTTTCACCAGGAGACATCACAACCTTTGTATAAATACTGTTGTTTGTTGCTCTATTCCTGCTGATGTACTCCACTCACACCAGTCAGGATATGACAGTACATTCATTTCAGCACTGACATTTCTAATTGCAACAAGTGCCTTACTGTAAAAGTGGCAGATGGTGAGCTGCTGGTTACAAACGCAAGGCTACTGCAGATTAGATCACGCTGCCTCCGAAACATCTGTTGGGACACCGGTGGACGAGTAAACATCCCTCCAACACTGAAGCAACACGAAAAGATGGAAGAAGATTTCTACAAGAGCAGAATAATGTGTCGGAATGAGACAAACTTATAGTTTTGGATCTAATTTGGGTCGATGAAGTGACTGTAAAGCATGAAGAGTCAGCTTGATTTTTAGGTATTGCTGGACAATCATATTTAGCTGCATGAAGGTCCTGTTGCTGTTCTGACGCTCCCACATTTGTTTTTGTTCATGATTCGTTTTTTTTTTTTTTTAATTTATATTTTTGTGTTTGGCTGCACTGTTTTAACATTGTAAATAAAAATAAAAGGAAACAAGATGAACCTATCAGAAAAGTTTAGTCATTTCATTCTCTGTAGATTTGCTGCCAGCTGCACAGCACAGGAAAGCAACTGGCCAACCTACACTGAATGAGTTAAAGCTGCAGTTCATGTAAAAAAAACCCAGGGGGAGGCAAAACTCTGAAAACTGAAATACCCCTCTTGTCTCGGTAAGATTGATATTTTTTGTAAAAAGGAAAGAAAGAAAGAAAGAAAGAAAGAAAGAAAGAAAGAAAGAAAGAAAGAAAGAAAGACAAAATAACAATTATACAAAACAGAATATTAAAACTGATATTGAATGTACATTTTGCCATTAAGTTTGAAACAAAAACTTAATTTACAAGATAACGGCACTTGTTTGGAATATATTTGCATTCATTAATTTATCCTTTTCATGGAAATGTTGCCCATAACCTTGTAGTGTGATGTGTGTTTGTCAGTGTATATTGCATCACAACAACATAGATTAGAGGTATAGGTCTTCCAAATGGACAATGACCCTAAACATATCGCCAGATTAGTTACAAAGAGGCTTAAGGACAACAAAGTCGATATTTTGGAATGGCCATCACAAAGCCCTGATGTCAGTCCTGTAGAAAATTTGTAGAACAAAGCTGAAAAGGTGTGTGCGAGCAAGGCGGCCAACAAACCTGGCTCAGTTACACCAGTTCTGTCAGGAGGAATGGGCCAGAATTCTAGCAAACTATTTTGAGAAGCTTGTGGAAGGACACCCACAACATTTTGACCCAAGTCAGACAGTTTAAAGGCAATGCTCCCAAATACTAAGGAAATGAATGCAAATTTCTGGCTTTGAAGAAAGTAATAAAAAAAATTCTCTAAAAAATCTCTCTCTCATTATTCTGGCATTTAGCAAATAGAAATAATTTTGGTAATCCTAAGTGACCTAAAACAGGAAAAGTTTAGTCACATTTAATGTCAGATAGTGAGAAAAAAAAAAAAAAAGTTTCTATGTCTTTTTATACGGTGTATGTAAACTACTGGTTTCAACTGTATGTCCTGATGCATTCATGCATTACTTTAACGTACAAAAGTATTTTTATATCTCTGCAACCATAAGAAGGTTCTGTTTTCCTTAGTTCCTGACATGGTGTTGGAATGCGGCATTTGGAAACTGACTATGGCAGCTCCTACCTTTGGATTACCACCAATACATTTGAAATCCTCATTCAACCAAATTTTCAGTGACAGTTGTACACCTAGTTTAGGTTGAATATATCTGTTTGCCTCATTTTTTTGTGCATTTTGATTCTGACGAAGACAGTACCATTGAATAGTTGGTCTGTTTCCACGATAAAAAACAAGCAGTGACTGCTGTCTTGCAGCTTGCAACTGGTTGAAAATGCTCTACCACCTGAGCCACGCCCCAAAGTTGGCCCTAAGTTCCCCCTAAGTTCCCCCCGTCCTACTATGCGTTCCCGAATTCTAATCTAGGCCTATCATGTATTGAGCCATACAGCAATGCTGGGGGACAAAAAACCCCTTTGATGAATTCCTATAATAGCCCATGTAATATGAAGCAAATAGAGAACTGGAGAAAGTGTTTTTCAGTTTTCCATTATGGGATTTGATAAAGAATGAGGGTTACATATGTCGAACTCTTGAAAAGAGAACCCTGTGAACAGAGGACCCTTTGTCATGTTCCTATTATGTACCATATAAATCTGAGGACATAGAAATGAGTCCCTTACCAGTACCTCTGCAGCTCAATAATTAACATGCGACACTGTACCTCATTACTAAAACAGAAGTAGCACTGGTAAAGAGATTTTTTTGACCCCTGGACCTCACACTTCAGCTGGTTTACACAGTTTCTAGTCAGCTCAGCTACTTAGTCTCTGACTGTAGCTCCATATCCAACAGACAGATGCAGTACAAGAATGGGACTGATTTTTTTTTACTTTAGGTAAAAAAGTGAAGCATATTGTCCAAAATGTTGTAGAATACCAATAGAAAACATATACAACACGTGTCTCATGACTGTGGCTCTACCAACAGGTGCAGGATGACGTTTTAGATGGAAATCTGTATGTGTTTGGACTGAAGCTAAATTAGTTGAGCAAGCTGATTACATTAAACTGAACAATCTTTAACAAACCTGTACAAACCAAACGTGCATGTGGCTTTTTATTTTTTATGTCAGTGAGCGAATTAGATTTTTCTCTAATCCTAAAGCTTCTGATCTTATTATAGTAATGAAAACTAATTCCCTGCAGAATCCTTCAGATGTCATCCCGGTTGCCATGGCAGTTAAACAGGGACGGTTAGACCATGTTGGTGTGTGTGTGTGGGTGTGTGTGTGTGTTTAAGCGGATTGTCGCCCATTAGGCACTTTGATGAGCCAAATCTGTTGATGTCGCATCTAGTATTGAGGAAGTGACTAATTTTTGCTCACAAACATAAACACAAACACACTGAGGCAAAGACAAAGTGAACACATATGGCACTAATAAAGCAAATGTCACTTTCACCAAGCAAGTCGAAAGTTGTCTTCATAGGATATTAACAAAATGAAGGAAGCTGACATTCAACAGATGAAGTGTTTCATTATAAACCCTTGCGGAAGCTTCTGTCTGAAAAAACAAAAACTCAATCAGCATTTGAAAAGAAAAAAGGATCCTTAGGTGAGATTGTAAAACATTTAGAGTGACATATTCATGTTCCTAATAATAGACTACGAAATAACACAAAACAATCCATCTAAATACAAATTAATTAATTAAATTCAGGCTACTTGCGCTTGCAAAATGATCCTTTAAATTAAATTAAAAACTTGTCACATTAATCTGAGGTTATTAGTTGATTCGTCACTGATAAATGCATCAGTAACTTTGGTAAACCCCTGAGACGCAAGACAAAATTTGATTGTGATATGGATTTATTTTCTGCAAACTTGGAGTAAAATAGTTTAGAGAATCAGTGCTAAATGTGTCACATTTTCTTTTGCAGTTCTGTTGCACATACAGTTCATTACTTTGCTGTTTAAGATCACTAAATTCTGAGCTACTCTGGCTCACACTGACTCATAATTAAGTGGCTAATGTATGTTTGTCTGTCTGTACACACAGTGTGAACTAGTGGACAATGGGGACTAGTGGATCAGAGTCCATTTACAGGGATTTATCTGTTTAATAACTGGGAGAGTTGTGTTGCACTGCCCTAAGGGCCACATAATAACGCACTCTGGCGCCCAGTCATCACTAATGCTCTGATCCTGCTAAATGGACCTAGTTAAGTCTCATATTAGGAGCGCCTTCTTCTTCTTCCATCCTGTCCCCTGTTCCCATTTGTACAGTGACATCTTTCTTCAGTTCTCCTGGGGTTTCCTTTGAGTCAGTGAGGTGTATATAAGACCCAGCGAGGATGTTGCCACCACTGAAGTTACCCAGGACAACACACGAAAAGGACACTTTACCCCGACAAGCTCGCCTTTAGTTTCTAGGAGCCAAATCTTTGAAGATACGAAGTGTACTCGGACAGCCAACATCTTCTTCTTCATCCTTTGTCATCAACATTTATCTGACCTCCTCTCCAGCCTGACACCATGTACACAGCTGCAGTGGTGACTCTTCTGGCTCTGGTTATGGCGATGGCTGGCGTCAGTCAGGCTCTTCACATCCAAGGCAGTCTGGACAAAAATGACATTATGCCTGGCAGCTCAGAGGAGAACATGGCTGACCGCCTGCTGGGGCTGGTGAGACAACAAACCACTCTCAAACTTGAATTGCAAATTTTTCATTCCAGTTATTGAATAATCATAGCTCAGCTCTTTGACTTTTCTGTGCAGCTGGCATGAAACAATACTATTAGAATAACTGCATTTAGGTATATTTTTCACTATATAGACCATGCCAAGTTGAAAATAATTTTGGCAACTGAAAATGGGAATCTAATGTTGAAATATATGTCACACACGGTTATGTGTTAAAATATACTGTCTGTCTGATTTAAATATAAACTGTCTGTTCTGCTACGTCAGAGTGAATGAAAGACTGTGCACAAGGAGTCATGCCAACATTTCCAGAGAAGCCTGTTGTTCCATGTGACGCAGTCTGTATATGGAATTGGGCTTTTTGTCAAATGAGACAGAATAAATCAAACAACCCGTTTAGATTTCTGACAGTGTCCTCTTCATGCAACAGTGTGAAATCCACTGTTTGGGGTGAGCAGACATGAAAGAGTACGACAAAGGACAAGGATTCAGATCACAAGTTTATGGCACAGAAACAGACAGATCTGGGTTTTATTTTGCAGTGAAAGGGTGAATGCATATTTGGATGAGCAGGGGGTGTATATCTTTGCCTCTGTGTGCTGATATCTACATCTCAAGGTCTCTTTCCATGGCCAGACAGACTGGTTGGAGTTACTGGCCGTGGGGTTTGTGTTGCAACCCAAAACTGAATGCAGTTAGGGCTCTTGATGTGCTTGTGGGATTTTTATTCAAGAGCTTTTTGAAACTAGGCTTTGCATCTGTGTGGGTGTGGGTTTGTGTAGATATAAATATGTGTGTGCGTGTGTGTACTCCAGGAGAGTGAAAACAGCGATAACAGCATGGAGGACCGTCTGCTGGCGTCAGTGCTGAGAGCTCTGCTGCTGGGATCCCAGAGAGAAACCAGGAACTCAGTTCTCCATCAGCCACAGAGGTCAGTGCTATTACAGAGCCTGTATTCATTCTGGAATCACGTATAAAAACACACACACACAGGGAGTCTGAAATCAAGAAAAGTGCACCGTCGCAGCCTTCTGGACAGCACTTTCCTGTCAGCAAAGAATAAAAATTTTATATTGTCCATTTTCCTGCTGCAGGAAAATGTGATAATAAATACTAATATAGAAGGTTCACTCAGATCTGTTAAAGCAAAAATCCCTACTGCGCAGGCAAATACCCCTTTAAAGTCTTTTTAAGGATTTCAGGAAAAATACAGCATACATGACCCTTTTCATAACTCCTTAAAGTGATCCAGGCATCAGTGCTTTAGTGTGTTACAAGAGTGATGGTAATAAAAGGAGAATCCATTTACCCATTTGCAACCGCTCTCTGTATCTGAATTTTAAAATGGCACAAGTACCATTATCAATCATCAAGTACTTGAAATGTCCATTTGTAAAAGTGGTTAATAAGCTGAACTCCCCTCTTATGGCTAAGACAAGTTCATGTTTTTGATCCAGAATTGTGGTCAGAGCCTCAAACATTATGTTCAAATTGTTGCCTGTCACGCAGTGTTGCTTCCGACTGTTCCAGCTCTGGCCAGTTAAATATAATTAAGACCCAACAAACACAACAGATCTAAGTGTTTTATATCTTCAGGTTATAATGTATTCCTCATTTAAAGCCAGTTTATTTATTTATTTTTTTAAACGATCTAAAAAGTCCTTTAATTCAAGCTATACTTTGAATGACTTCAGTTCCCTCTCTTGTTTCTCCTACCTTGCAGGTTTGGCCGTGACTCCAGAGGACCAATACTGTCGGATGAACAGATACATTCTCGTGACTGGGAGGCTGCCCCTGGTCAGATCTGGAGTATGGCCGTACCCCAGAGATTTGGCAAGAAATAACATGGCAGGCACATCCACACATCGCTGTCCTGGTACGAGGCCAAGCAGTGGTCGCATGTGGAGAGACGAAATTTGAATGAATAAATCTGAATTGTATTTAAAAAAAAAAAAAAAAAAAGTCTATGGTTCCTTCCAATTCTGTGCCCATTAGGCCTGGTGTGACACCTGGTGTTCAGTTAAAGACGACAAAAGCTTTATTTTATAGTTGTTTTTTCCTGAGTTCCAACACTGCAAAGCATGTTAAAGGGTGCCAATTAAGAATTCCCCAGCAGGGATCACTGAAACGTGATTGAGGACCAAACGTGTTTGTTGTAAATTGATTGCGACAGTTTTTGTTATTCTTCAGTTTACTAGTCAAATAAAAGAACTTTGAACTTGGAAAAGCTACAATTATGTGTACGTGTGTTCACTATAAATAGTCTGAAAAAGTCTGAGTCATGTTCAGATCACATCTTAGCTTTGACATCTGTTGATATTATACAAGCAAAATCAAAAAATGCCTCGCTGAGATATTAACGTATTTAACCTCAATTAATCGAAAATGTGATTGTTCAGGGATTGATTAAATAATCTAGAAAATGGAAAAATTCATTTGTCTTGATAACTGACTGATCAATTAGAAAACTAATTAAGTTTGTTGTTATATCACTGGTATCATGAGATTCATGTAATGTTGTGCAGTACGTGTTAAACCAGTGCTTCAGCAGCCAGTGTTCTGTCTGTATTTGGGGGAAACGTGATTTATTTGAGTATTGTAGCTGGAGTTCTTCTGCTGTTCCTTGCATAAAACGAAACAAAAAAATGTCACAACAAATCATATTAGTTTTCAGGCTAAATGTCATGTTATGTTGTGCACACCAGCTAGACCACATGTCAGAACATCATTTTCCACTGGATTTTAATATATCTGTGCTGACTCACTTACACATCAGTGTAACTTCATTAAAGACCACACAGAAAGATATGAAGGATGTGAATATAAGATGATATCTCATTTGTAAAGCAAGACATTTAGTTACTTTTGTTTCTACACAGACAACAGGATTGTGTTTCATGAGACAAGGTTGGAAATTGTCTTGTCCAGCCATCATCTGTTTAATGTAAAGTGACTCTACAGACTTGCAGCGGTTGTTGTCTGTGGTGGATTTACAGGCCACCTGGGGGACCAGTGTGCAATAAGCCTGAACACTAATTAAAACACAGCAACATGCAATTACTCTATGCATTAACGGTTTCCACAGCCAATTACTGGGAAGGAAAGCACGTCAATCCCTCTTAGAAAAAACGTCTTTCATTAGCTTGACCTCCCAATCCAGGAAATATATATATATATATATATATTTCCTCACACTTATGTTATTAATTTAACACACTTAAGTGTAATTTTTCAGCAATCCAACATTCAGTGCCTTAGCGTCAAACTAATCATGAGGTAGTAAACTCAGATGGTGTTAAGTCTGAATTGTTAAAATTTAACAGATTACAAGAGTTTTGTTAATAAGCTGTTCAACACTAAACACCCACATCCCACACACAGGCGTTTTCACTTACTCTGCCTGATAACAGCTCTGTTCAGGATGTGTGAACATGTGCAGCATGCACTTGACTGACATGTGTCTTACGCAGCAGCAATGTCAATGAGATATGAAAGGTAAATCTGAGGTGACAAGAAGCATACTGAGACGAGAAGACAAGACAAAGGCAGAGCGGGTGCTGCTGTCCACGCAGCTGTGGCCTCTGATCCGCTCAGCTGAGATAGAGAGCAACTAAACTCATCTGCATTTCATGAGTCTGCAGGGGGGCTCAGCCAAAACATCTGTGTGTGCACCAATTATAACAGACAGACAGAGAGAGACAGGGGAGAGAGAGATGGAAAACACAAACAGACGGATACACTTAAAGATTATTTGCACCTCATATGTGCAGTAGCCTTGCAGTAAAAAAACAAAACAAACAACAAAAACCCATAAACTGAATTCACCATTCTGTTCTATCTATGGCTCGCTGACCTTTCCTCAACTCCCACACTCGTACGTTTCCTCATGGCCATCATCTTGGAAGCAGCTATCTTGAGCAGCGCAGAGGGAGGTCTCAGCCATGAGTGACCATGGCCATGACGCAGCGCAATTTGTCACACACAACAAGCTTTAATGGCTACTGGGTGAGTGAATGATCTCGCTTAAAAATAGAAGAAGCAAGGACGACGTCAAGGATAAACTGTGGTGATGTTCTCTGCTGCACAGATTGGTGATTTTGTCATCTGGAGATATAACTTAATATTAAATACAATTCTGTATATTATGTGTAATGTTGTCGAACACACATCACAGGTCACCCTCCAGCATTTTTTTGTTCCCATCCCCAGTTTTAAAGATCCCTGTCAGTGGTTTTAGATGTTTTAGATAATTTACAGGAACTCACATATGTGACTTTCCTCTCACTTGCCAGCCTGAATTAGTTCAAACTAATGTGGTCTGATACAAAAATACTCTGTTTGGTCCCAGTAGGACGCAGAGGAGATCATTTAACTTTATAGTCTTCAGTGTATGTAGATGTAGTTTATGGTACTGTTGAATTAAACAGAGTGGTATATTCTACAAGCTTATCTTAATATAAATGGGCCAGAAAAAATGGTAGAAACAAATCTCAGTGTAAAGAAAAAAAACAAACACAAAATCACAAACAGCAGCTTCAAAATAACCATGCAGTTGTATCAAAACCTCTTTAAAACAACTTCCCAGTTTTTTAGGAAGTACCTGCCCCGCTGATTGATTGCACTGCAGTCAATGAATGGGGGGGGCTTTAGCACTTGTCACAACCCTGAAGTTTCTCTTATAAACATTAAAACTAGAATGGGTGCTGCAAGGTGAGGCAGTAGTTGGCACTGTTGCCTCACAGCTACAAGGTCGCTGCTTCGCGTCCCTGTGAGGACACCCAGGATCTTACGGAGTTTGCATGTTCTCACCGTGCAGTGCCACTTCTCTCCAGGTTCTCCGGCTTCCTTCCACACAGTCCAAAAAAAACGAAAAAAAAAACATGCTGAGGTTAATTGGTGATTCTAAATTGTCCGTAGGTGTGAATGTGAGTGTGCTTGGTTGTCTGTCTCTAAGTGTGGCCCTGTGATAGACTGGTTACCTGTCCAGGGTGTCCCCTGCCTTCACCCTGAGTCAGCAGTGATAGGCTCCAGCCCCCCGCGACCCCAGTGAGGATTAAGTGGTGTATAGATAATGGATGGGTGGATGGATGTGCCAGCTTTAATAGCAATAAAAAAGAAACTTTTTTTTTCTTTTACTGTAATCATTTTCTTTTTTGTTGCTTGGCTGCGTTTCCCCATCTCATAAGCTGTTTAGAAGACTGTCTATACATGTGGTGAGTTTTCAGAAACCGAAAAAGTACAAATGGTACCGCATCCATTATCATCAAAAATTCCAAAGATTTGTGGAAAGTGAGCTCTTAACCTTGCAAAAGCTCATAATAACAGATTTTGGAATAATACAGAAGATTATTGTTTGACTTCAAAAGGAGAATTATAGCACTTGAAGGAATATTACAAACTCCCCACGAAAGTTAATACCACATAGAATTATTCAGCAATGCATTCTCTGAGCACTATTTGGATCAACCATAAAATATCTACATTATTTAGTGGCATTATTTTACCAACAAATAGAAATTTTGCCGGTTTGTGAAGGACTATATGCACGGCTGCAGGCTTTTTTATTTGAAGATTGCTTGAATAGAGAGACAACCATTTTTCTGATATTAGAGGATAAAAGAGATTGTATGAAATAGCATTTCCCTTCAGTTGCCGTAAACATCAGAGGTTGTATAGTAAAGTATGCAGCCAGCTGTTGCCAGCTCTCTCTCTTGGACACGTGTACTCACACAGAACACTTGGCCTCTTATTAACACAGTTTTCTGCTTTGAGGACAAAGACATAATTCAAGAAAAGCTCTAATTACAGTGGCAGGATTTTATTACCGCTCTGTCACTCTCTGCTACAAGAAAAAGAAGCCATGTTCTTTGTGTTTGGATGGTTTATGTGCAGTTCTAGTGGAGCAACACAATGACTGAGACAAAAACAGCAAAAAAAAAAGGGACTGTGATGGTGTTTTCATTTCTTTATAATTTTAGGGTCTGGACTTTTTAAGGTCAGATTATTTATCTATTGTGTGTCACCTTCTTCAGGGACTTTTAAATGATGAGCTAAAAGCTACATTAAAAAAAAAAACTGCCTCTTCATTGACTCTGAAAGATAGAAGTGGCCATGAGGTTGTTTTATCAGTTCAATTCCTGCCAAGAGTTTTTGTTGCATGTTCCCTGTCCTGTTTTCACATGTTTCCTATTTGGCCCCACCATCTACACTGAAATGTGAAAAGAAATGTCCTCAAAATGTATGGATATGTACATTTTCATACAGTTCATATGGTTTTAAAAGGTCTAAATGAGAGCATCATTGCCTTAGAAAATTATATATAATTCTATCGATGTGTTGTTTGAACTGTGAGAAAGTTTTCAAGGTGAGCAATCACGTGTGGAATGACATTTTTTTTTAAATGGGAGTATTGGTGAAAACAAGAATTTTTAAATTTAAGTAGGGTTAGCGTTGTGAAGTTAAGCATGGACTTGAAGCTGTAACATAGCAGTTGCATTGTGGGTAATATAAATGCTAGGTTTTGATGAAAAATGCATGCCACATCCATTTGATCTTTTAAACACCAACAACAAAACAAAACAAAAACAAAAATCCTGTTCATTATCAGCTCTATCAGTTGAAAATGCAGGACCAAAGTTATGGAAAACTGATTCTGACACATTTACTGAATGTCAGTGCACAGTTAAAAGGCATCAAGTTAATTTTTCTCCTAAAATGTGCTGCAAATCTGACACACCAGGGAGGGGAGTGTCAGGTATCAGGGCCCTGTAGACTTGTGATGTAGGGACACTCAGGCTAAGAGGCGATCAATAAAGATTGTGCAGGCCAGGCAGCAGAGGGGACAAGCTTGGTCAGATATTAGCAAAGCACAAATAAACAGTTCACAGCTTTGTTTTCAGTGTGGACTCAAAACTATCATTATGTTTACCTCTTATTTGTGAATTATATTGAACTGATGGCTGCAGATGTAGCTCATCAATTATTTCCTCTCATCTCTGCCTGAATCACAGATGACTTTGTAACATTTCGTACAGAACATCCTCTTAGCACTAATGTGTTTACATCAGTGTCTATTAATGTGCATCGTCCATGTGGGAGAAACCAAAAACAATCCAATTACTGTGTGCAACTGTGTTAAATATTGCCAGAGCTGCATGTATGTACAAAACTTACTAATGAGATTCAGCCTATACTTAACTCCTTCTGAATGACATTAGTATCTACAATCCAGTGTAGGTTGCTTTTAAGCATGTGTAGGTAGTTGATTTTTAAACTGCTCTTAAAGAAAAGAATATGCATCTTTTCTAGCCTTTAAACACAGGGAGAGAGAGAGAGTATGTCTTTGTCATCCTCACTCTCCCATCTGTGCAGGGACTGCTGCAGAACAGCCCCGAGCTCAGACAGCCAATACAGACGGAAAGAAATGTGAATAAGGGTGGGACTTAGTGTGAAAGGGAGCTGGGCTCAGCGAATGGGAGTGAAGGAGAGGTGTTCCTAGTCCAGAATGTCCTTGTCTGATCGCTGAGAGACAGAGAGGAAGGAGAGGAAAGCTAGAATAGACACCAGCAGGTGCTGAGGATAGAAAAAAAATCACTAGAACAGAATTAGGGTGCCTAAAAGAAGGACATTTATAGAAAAGTGTGCTAAAAGATAAAAGTAAAGGCACAAACCAAGTCAGCTTATTTATTTTAAATTAAGCTGGAGCCCACTTCTTTTCTTTTCCAGCCACCTTCATTGAGCTCTTTATCGTCCTTCTTTCGTGCGGATTCTCCTTCTTGTTCTTCCCTTCATCCTCCTTTCGTCCTCTCTGACAGACAGTGCCACCATGGAAACTGGGAGCCCCAGGAAGATCCAGTTCACTGTCCCCCTGCTGGACACCCACCTGGACCCAGAGGCTGCTGAACAGGTAAGGAGGAGGGAGGAAGAGGAGGTGGTGTCAGGACTTTCAGGCTCTGAAAGGGTTTATTTAGGCATCAGACATAGTGGGAGAGGGATGAAGTACTCCCTCTTTGTGTATAGATGATTGTAGTAAGGACATGAGGAGAAATCACAGTTTGTACTTGTGGCAAAAATGTGAACACACAACTGGGAAACATTTATTCTAGTTGTCTAAGCGAGCAGGTGCAGTCACAGCTGAACAACTGTGTCCCAAAGGCTGTAGTATTGTCATCGTTGGAAGACAAACTGCTGCTGGAAACTCATGTTTTCTGTGTCTTTTTACTACCATTCACCTCATTAGCGGTGTGTTTCTTTTGAATGCAGCACCGACAACTTTAAGATTGATTTTCCACCCACACTTACAGTGTGGCAGATTTGTAGAGACACACAGCGTCTCAGCAGTGTTAGAAGCAGGTGTTGCAGTGTGCTGATGTGTCTCCAAGGGGCTGGTGTTATTTTCTGTTGAGTGACCAACCAATTGTTTCCTACTGCAGCGAGGCACTGGCAAAAGTTGTGTGGTATAACAAAAGAAACAAATTAAATTGCTTATCATCACTGGGATTATTTCTTCTCCCATTGCATCCTAAACTGCAAATTGATTCCAAACAAATTAGAGCACATTTGATAGGATGGAGAGATGCCAGAACTCTTGTTTCTGGATTTTCTAAATTCAACATCACTTTGTGGCATCAGAGCAAAGATCTATTATCAGTAACTAAAAACAGGTCCAGTGGCTTCAGTCCATGTGCCTGTAGAGAATGTAGTGAAAAGATGTGTCCCATTTTCACACTTTTATAAATATAACATGAACAGGACAGGTCATTCATAATGAATGAGCCTCGAGTAAAGCCGGCAAGGATTTAGGAGTCTGGCAACATTGTGCTTATGTCTCTCTTCCTCCTTTTTCCTCTCTCACTCTTTCTCTTCCTGACTCTTTCTGCTGCTAACTGTTTTCCTCACTGTGAGACTCAAAGGCAAGTGGATGTTAGGAGACTGCTTAATGTGTGTGTGCTGTGTATGTGTGTGGGAGACTGCCCTTGCGAAGACATTTTATGGGATGTTCTGGGAGTGTGGTCAAGTTTGTTTGAGACAGAACTTCTGAATTGATATTTGAATTAGATGAGATGTGAGGAACTGAGTGTATGTGTGTGAACGTGCATTTCAGTGAGAGTACGGTCGGTGTGACAAACACCTGCCTAGACACAGAGGTAGTGAACGTACATGAGCCGTGTACAGCAAATAAGACAGATGGTACAAAATCTGGAGCCTACTCCAGTATAGAATTCTATGTGACTATGTATGTCACTCACTGCATAAAGCTTCCCTGTTGGCTGGGGAAAATTATTTTTTCAGAAAGGAAATGTGCTTGATTGCACAAACTATTTGTTGCATTCTGACACTTTTTGTAATGGTGAAGTACAAACATGATTTAATTTCAATTTTTTTTTAACAGAAATATCCATCTAGATTTTCCCGTCAGCCTTTCATGTCAGACTGTAATGCTGCAACTCTCAAAACAAAAGCAGAATCCTAATATTGATGCACCAGTGGGGTAATCATGACATGGTGATACAACTGGTAAAGGTGATGCTAAATTTAACTATATAATTAGCTTCTGGTTAGCTTAATCTATATTAGTACATCCTGCAACCATCCGTCCAGTTTAGATTTCCCTCTCTCAATGCAATGTTTTCCAGTTTCTCCTGAGAGATCCCAAAATGTTCCCAGGCCAGATGAGATATGTAATACCTTTCAGTAAGTTCTTATTGTACCCCTTGGTCTCCTCTCCATTGTACGTTTCCAGAAGAAGGTGCTGAGGAGGTGTCAGATGCTCAAACCAGCTCAGTTGGCTCCTTTTAACATACAAAAGTAACAACTTTACTCCTGGCTTCTTCCACATATCAGAGCTTCTCATCCTTTATCTAAGGCTGAGCCACTCTACGGAGAAAACTCATTTGATTGTGTCCGCCATCTCATTATTTCAGTGATTACCCGCAGCTTATGTCCATAGGTGAGGGTTGGAACATGGATTGACTTGTAAATTGAGAGCCTTGTCTACCGGCTCAGCTCAGGCCTCAGACTTAGAGGTGCTGACTCTGATGCTGGCCATCTTCGGCTACAAACCACCTCAGTGCTCGCTGAAGGTCACATTTTAATGAAGCCAACAGAACAACATCAACTGGACGTCCTCCTTGCAACACCTACGCCTTGAGATCCCATCCATGAATCTCACAAACAGGATCGGAGACAAGAGGCAATGAGTGGAAAGGTGTTTGAATTTGTGCTGAGAGTATAAACACAGCTCTTACTTTGGTTGTACAAGGACAAGGTGACAAGTAGCAATGGTATCTGATCCCATACTCCTGCAGTACTCCGCTCAGGGTTTCCCATGGTCATAGGCCTTGTTCAAGTCCAGAGAACACGTGAGGACTGGATGGTCGAACAATCCCAGCATCTCTGCATTTGTAAAGTTTTGGTCCAGTGTTCCATGACCAGGACAAAATCCACATTGTTCCTCCTGAAGGTTTGACAGTCAGTGGCAGATTGTCCTGCAACCATATTTTTATTAATAGTCTAATTATACAAAGTAACTAGTACCTAAAACTTTGCAATAAATGAAAGGACAATATAGAATCACAGATTAACCTCATAATGTTTTTGTACTGTGGGAGGAAGCTGGAGAACCCAGAGAGAACCAACACTGCACAGGGAGAGCATGATCCCAGGTTCCCAAAGATCCTTTAATGGGACACGAACCGGGGATCTTCAAGCTACGAGGCAACACTGCTCACCTCCGAGCCACTGTGCAGCCCCCACATTGAACAGACAAACCTAAACCTCCCTGCCATATCTAATTGATGGCATAATTACTTATATGGAGATTACCTGACATCAGGGGGTTTCATATGAAGCACAAACAGTATTGCATCTCAGACATTCTTTCTCAAAGTTTGATTTCCAGCTACTTTAGCTGGCAGAATGTACACTGCAGTGTGATCACAGAAGAAAACTCTCTGCACAATGAAATATCATCGTCATTAAAAGGCACCTTCACGAGTTTTACTCCAAGGAGAAACATTTTGTAGAAGACAGAGGCAACTTAATCTCATGAAAGAACTGACAGATAAAAAGATTGTACTGCTGTTTAAAAGAGAGTACACAAAGAACTCACTGACACAAACCCTCACCCTGTGTTGTTTTAGAGTTAATGAATGAAGAATTTCAGATCAACAGCCTTCAAGCTTAAAGAAACGACAGAAACTCAAGACATGACAGATATCAGTCAAAAACAACTTTCTTTATTAATACTGTGGTACAGCTGTTATCACTGCTACCTCACAGCTAGAAGGTCCTGGGTTCAAATCTCAGCCTGGGGTCTTTCTGTGTGGAGTTTGTATGTTCTGCGTGGGTTCTCACCAGGTGCTTCCCCCGGCTTCCTCCCACAGTCCAAAGACATGCTGACTGAGGTTAACTGGTGATTCTAAATTGTCCGTAGGTGTGAATATGAGTGTGTTTGCTTGTCTGTCTCTGTGTGGCCCTGTGATAGACTGGTGACCTGTCCAGGGTGTCCCCTGCCTTCGCCTAAAGTCAGCTGGGATAGACTCCAGCCCCATGTGACACTACAGAGGATAAAGCAGTGCATAGATGATGAATGGATACAGGGATTTCTCAAGTAACAAGGGCTTTATAGGCAAGACTGACAAACACCGCCATCGAGGCTGTTACCATTTTAAATAGTGGAACAGCAGCTCTGCAACAACAGCCAAAAAGAAGCAACAACAAAAAGCAAGCGCTACCTCTGGTGAATATCTTCAGCTGGGTGGTTTATACTTAACCGTCCTATTGTCTTTAGGGTTAATTTGACCCCATTCAATGTTTAACATCTTTAAATAAATCATTGACAGATTTTTTTTTTCAGTTTTATTTAAAGAGCTACATACACATAGACTTGGGTAAGATTTTAATTATGATATTTTCTGGAGGTTTAAATTGCTGGGGTCAAATTGAACCCAAGGATGAAAGATGTCAGTAAATTGGAAGGTAATAGGAGGGTTAATTGACTGACTTCAGGATAGTAAATCCAAGCTTCTCAACTGGGCAAATGGGTACAATGTCTCTCCTGATGTAAAATGCCAACACTTCTGTAATTTTCCTCCACTGTTAAATGGGGTGACATTGAAATGTGAGGCAAGTGGAATTTTGACAGGAGTTTGCATCTGAATCTCAGACACTTATTGCTTCTCTTCCACTGGTTGTTTTTGTCTCTGGTGCTGTAAAAGTTTATTATATTCAATTTTACACAGGATGCTGGTCTGTTTGACGTCAGGCTTTGGGAAACAGAGTCATTTCCATATTATAATATGCTCACCTTCCTTTGGTCATGTTTTATTGTTGTTGGCTGCTGTTGCCATTGTTAAAGTGTGTCACCGGCAAAACCGACACACGTAGGTGTCTCCAAGGAAACGATGACAGCTTATGATGGTGTCGTGGCTTCAGAGGACTATTTCTGACTGCTAGTGCTGGTGTTTGAGTAATGGTAGAGGAAGCACATATTAAGTTACTGCCTTCCACTGCTGCTGCCACACACAATATAACCAGTTAAACCTGGTTGCCTTAATCACGAAGCAGCTTAAGTGAGAAAAAAGTATTTGTCAGAGATGTGTCCAAAGTGAAAGCAGATCAGTTGCTAATGGATGATTAGTGGCAGACCTCAATGTAAGTTTGTTTGGCTGTGCTAAATACATAAGTGCATGTTTTGTTGCATCTGACAAAATAGCTTCTCAGTAAGTGTGATGACCAGGAGCCACAGATGCTGCAGAATCAACTGTAATTGAATTTTTAGTGATTTTAACTGGAATGAATCTGCCAGCAGATCAGCATAAAGGTTGGATGTCATGAAACTTATTGTTTTACACCGCTGTGGACTCATTATGTTCACTAGCACTTGTATAATTAGTCAAGTGCTAT